CTTAATTTAACACCAAACAGAAATCAACTCCAGTTAAATGTTAATACATCACTAATAAAGAGTTGATTTACAACCCATATGGTGTTGCTTTAACTGTCATTATTTCACTCTGGTGCAATTTTTTAATGCTACTGAACATACTAAAAAAACATTAAACAACAAATAAAACAGAAAACGAAACTCAATATCAGTTAAAACTTTTATTAAAACATTCAGGCTTACAAAAATACAGTGCAAAAATTTCAAGTCTGCATAAAATGGCAATATGGTACAATATGAAGTACAGAATCAGTTGTACCATATTTTCTTTGAAGATCAAATGGTTTGAAATAACACAGCTCATTAACATTGACAACTGTTAAAACTTTTTCTGGATGCAGTCTGACTGTAAAAGCATAGTAATGCTCATCAAAACATACAGTTTCCATTAGTGTGCCACATAACAGTACATTTTCATTTTTGACAGCTAGAGTCATGATCTTACAAAACACTGGCATCTCATTTGCTACTTCTGTGCAGATAATAAAGTCAGGACGATACTCTGTGCCATGATGTTTGATCCACTTTACAGCATAGACTATTTCAGATATTACCACACCTAATTTTGAAGCAATCTCTGGGCCACCTCTAATTTCCCTGAGTTCCACCATCTTTCCTGGGCCAAGAGTCAGTCTGTACTGGCTAAAAGACTCCCAATACATTGCCATACAACTCTGGTGCTTTTTGGCTAGTGTTTTGGTGATGTTTTTGAAACTTTTTAATTGTGTTTTAAAGAATTTGTGCTTAGCTTCATAACGCATACACCATGTGAGCAAAATTGGACCAATTTTCCTTATACATTGTGGGTAATGCATCATGATGTGATGTTTTGGCAGAAGATTTTTTTGGGGGAATAACATTTTAAATAGCCGATGATGTTCAATTATCAAATGTTTAAGATAAGTGGTCATGCCATCTGTTAAGACAGGTGAAAAGACAATGTTAACAATCTGCAGAAGTAAAAGCAAAAGATGCCAGTGTTTATCATCTTTATGTATTAAATCTCCAAATATTAAAGGCAAATTGCGCAATAAGCACCAAGATTGAATAGCATTTAAACCTAAATCATTGCTTCCATCAAGCAATTTGACTTTTGGAGGACGGTTTCTCTGCTGATTGTAACCATAGTCAAAAGCATGTACTCTACCATCAAGATCATTGGCACTCAGAAAATTATGCTGAATGTACTGCAGAACAAGTTTTACCTCTAGCTGGGCAACTCCTTCTAGAATGTCGTGCATTATATCAACAGCAAAATTGGTGGCTGTGTTGAAATATTTGAGGGAATTTAATAAGCATGCCCTTTTGACACCATACACGTGAGGTAGTGTAGAATCAGACTGTAAAGTTTCACAATGCAGAGCATGCATCTCAGCAGTTCTTAGTTCAACCTCAGGACTATCTTCAGAGAACACTGACTGAAACTGATGCTTCTCAAGCAGACAAAAACGACAACAATATCGAGCCCCAAATGATTCCAGAAAGCCAAACAAGCTGTGCAGACCTAGGTTATCCCCTGTGACTTGAACGATAGCACCCTTGATGCATCTTCCAGACACTGGATTCTTAACTCCCTCAATTTCAAGCACTTTCAGATCATTGACCAGGGGCTCAATTATGGAGTTAAAACCATAGCGCTTAACATCCTGTGCATGAAAGAGGGCACATAAATGAATATTAACCAGTGAGGAGTTAAAAACTGGTGGGAAATTTCTTAATGAAAAATAGATTGCACCCAATTTATGTATACCTTTCTTTGAGCCCAGTGGATTAGCTGTCTCAAAATCATCATAAAATAACTGAATTTGTAAGGCATCTTTTTCTGTAGAAAATAAAGGACTGCTTTTAAAATGTGCTGCATCACTTAAGTCCACATAAATTCCTTCCTTTGAAATGTGTCTGGGTTTAAACAAATGGGTAAGTTGTGGATTTTTTAAAATTGTCTTTAGTGTTTCTAAAATGGGAATATAAGAAAATTTATCAGTCACAACAACTTGATCAAATGTTCCTGTAGTTTTATTTCTTCTGCTGTCAAATCTTGTGCCGAGTACTATTTCACTAGGTTCAACAATTCCCCATTTCGCTGTAAACAGTCGCTGTCGCTTGACTTCCGAATTTAACAAAGTAAATGGATTTTCTAAATTTGTAAAAGATTCCTCTATTTTCCTTTTACTAACAGTGTCCTCAGAAGATAGACAGAGCAAAGCTGCATCCTGGGCTTGACTATGAATCTCAAAAACCACTTCTTTCATAGATGAAACAAAACCATTTATTGCAGACTGACTTAAACCAGCAACTTTCAGTTGTGCAACAGCAGACGCACATATATCTAAAGTGTTCTTATTAGACTTTAACATTACAGATGTTGTGGCCACATCTTCAGCACTGTCACTCTGGTGGAACATTGCAGCACTATTTTCTTCCTCTGTCTCACAGATGCCACTAGGGTCACAACTCTGTTCACATTGTTCAGGATGTTTTATATTCAAATGTTTTCTAAAACCTGAGAAGGTACCAAACTCAGAACCGCATCCTGCCTCTACACATTTAAGTCGAAGGCTCTTTCCAGGAACCAAACCATGAACAAATCTGAAGTGCCTAACAAGCATTTTTGAACCATTGAATTCAGTCTCACAAACAAAACACTTCATGAGTGCACTGGAACTTTAGGCACCTAGTTAAGCAGCCTTGCCCTAACCTCAGCAACACGAGGACTTTCTTTCACTTTCCCAACATCTATGTTGTACACAGTGGTTTGAATGAAAGTGTACATGTTGTGCAGCATGGTGTTGTAAGAGGTGCCAAAAACATAATGTGCCTTAAACAGTTCATCAAAGGCACCAAGAGAAGAGGTGGACTTGCATGGAATGGCATGCTGATCAAGGATGATGAAGAACTGGTGAATTGAATCCTTCTGAGGACCTACAGCCAGGAGATAGGGCTGAGCGCTCGCAGAGATGTCTTGCAGCTGCTCCTCAATGTTTGTTCCACTCTAAAAAAAAGCAAGCAAGTAAAAAAGAAACATCACTAACAAGTTAAATAATAAAAAACTATGACAGAACAATCATTAAATAAAACCAGCAAACAAACCTTCTTGAAGACAACAAGATGATTTTCTGCTTGAGAAGCAGAAACTTTCCCTGGTCTCTTCCGGCCTTGAGCAGATGGTGGAATCAGATGCAACAGTAGTAGTACTGAAGCAAGGTCGCTGTCCCAAACTGTTTAAACAGGTAACAAACAATTGGTTAATATCATAAATGTTAACTTGCAGCAAAACAATGTTGAAAACTAGAAGTTAACTACATAAAAAAGCCAAAAATATATACAAAGTGACTAAAGCTACATTAACAATCTTAGTTTGAATCCAATTATTTGTAAATCTGATAAAACTTTGATCCAAACTACCAACATATAAAAAAATTTATGAATATGATTTGCAATAATACACACACATATATATGAATGAATTCCAATTGAATATGAACAATTAAAAATTAAACTGACAGTGTGTAACTATGGCTAACTTCATTCATGCTTGGGTTCCTTTAAATATTATAATAACCATGGTATGAAACATTACCTAAACAATCAAAATTCTTACCAATATGAACATCATCTTCAGTGTCATCACGAAGAGATTCTGCTGCTAGCAAAAGTTCCTGTAAATCACTGGTTGCAGGAAGTCTTTTGCACTGCTGAATGACTTTTTTCTTGAACGCTGTTGTCCACTTCTCTAGCAGCTTGCCTGACACTCCTTCTCCAAACATCAGAACAAAGTCTTGCTCAATCTAATAAGCATAACATTTTAATTATTGTAATGCTTAGGGCAAATCTTTAAACTCATGTCACCACTGACTATTTGTTTTTTATACAACAAACCATTTATCAAATATGATTATAAACACTTACCAAGCCTTTAATGTCCTTGAAACGAGGAAAAATTGTCAATAGATCACTGGACTGCATGGGATCAAGAACCATCTTACGACGATAGTCAAATGTCAGTTTCATTTTCTTCTTGATGGCATCCTCATCAGCAGAATGGTTCATGAATGCAATTGCTTCCTTGCATTCATCCTCACTCAGGACAATCTCTGAAGTAAACTTTGAATGCCTTGCTACAGTTGGTCCACCGGATCCCCGCTCAGCATACGACACTTGACCTAACAAACACCAAAACTATTTTAACTGTTTGTTTATACAAAATAAAAAAATAATCATCCAAGCACAAAGAAAATTAGATTGCTACATTTCTGAAGTTCATTTTGTACCTTCAAATGATCCTCGTCGTTCTTTAGCCAGGTTTCTCTGAATAGTTTTGATTCTCCATGCCAAATATCCGGTGCCACTCTCACCATCATAGTAATGCTCCTAAAGAGATAAAAATGGGTAAAAAGGGGGACACAGGAGCAAAATATACCATCTGTAGTATAGGTGTGTAAAAAAAAACAAAAAAACGTGACAACACAAATGTAAAATTTTAAAAAGGTCCAAGACTTACAAAGCCATTTTTGGAATAGGGGTCACTGAGGTAAGGGAACAAAGCCACGATTCCTCTGGCATATTTTTCTTTGACCAGCCTTGGTGGGGACCCTCTGCAAAATAATGATTAATTATAAAAAAATAATAAAATAAATCCACAACTATATCAAGTAGCTATGTGTACACACAAATCAGTACTGTGCAGATTACCCATTTTTTTCGGTCATATCAGCTGCCAGGATATTAACCATTTTTCTCCTCGTTTCATCCTTTAAAGCCTTTGTTCTGTTATACTCATTTATTATACTCTCGCCTCCAGGTTTCTTGACAAGAACAGATTGCACTAGCTTTAAAATAAGAGGGGAAAAGGCAGGTTATAAACAAATTAAAAACACACCTAACAACAAGCAAAAAATGAATTTTTAAATAAAATGTAAATTATATATTTTTTCACTTTAAATCATTTTTATGTAGAAAAAAAAAGTCCACCTTTTTTGCTTCATCATCCAGCTTCATTCGCTTACTGTCAGGGCCTTCTTCAATAATGACTGTATCCTGAGAGTCAAGGGAGTCAAAGGATGAAGACAGAGACTGATCTAAATGCATAGAAGATGATTGTGGAGAGGCCGGTTCCAAATCTGTTTGCATAAACAATATAAGGAGGGGGGGGTCAGGAAGTCTCTATGACAAAAACTGTGAAACATTACAGTCAAATAATGTGATAAAATACAAACCTGCACCATGTTTTATGGTGAGAACGCCAACGGAGGGATCTTTGATTAACTCTTCAAAAACATCACCATCCACCTCAGTCCCAGATTCATCCACAACCTTCACGTTCTCAGGTACATTTGGAACCCCAAACTTCAAAAAGGCTAAACAATACATAAATAATATATTGCATAATAATAACAAAATGTGAAAGCTGATCAGTTATATACTGGTAACTCTGAATATCATCTGGAAACATAACACAGCAGCATATACATCAGTATTTAAATTGACCACATACCAAATAAGAAATCTGAATAACAAAAGTGTAATTGTTTCTTACCTGCAGACAAAAAGTCCTCCAGGTTCAGATTGGCTATTTTAACAAACTTTTGTGCATTCCCAAATTTCACCTTTACCAGCATGCTCTGTAGGAAAAGAGAATGTTTCATACAGGTGCCAATGGGGGGGATTTATAAATGACACAAAAATGGCACATAGGTTTATAAATTGTTGCAAGATTTTATAACCATTAACATATATTTATTATTTAAGAATTGGTCATCCCAGTTAGTAAAGTAATTACACAAGTACTTAAAGGTTTTACTCACGATGTGATCTGTAGAGCCTTATATGCACAGAAACTTGGGGGAAAAGAAAACACCAATATGTCAACAATCATTTTTCTGTTATGTCAAAGTATAACACACATTCACCATAGAAAAAAAAAAGATTCTAATCCACTTAATTCTGAAATAATGTCTGTGCTGAAGGGTTGTCATGATACTGAATATTGGTACCAATTGGTACTGGAATTAAAAGCATCCATTTCCGCTAATATTTAAGTGTTTTTGAGTAGCCAAAATATTATTAAAATGTAATAAGTTGCTTCCAAACTCATCTACAACTAGCACAAACGTTGCCACATTACACAAAATAGTTATAACTTGGAATGCTATAAGAGTAAATCATCATTTATTGTTTACCTGGTCTTTTGTCTATGATTATCAGCTTCAGCTCTTCAAACGTCAGTGGTTCGTTCACGTCACACAGACCCATATTAATTAAGCTGCCAAAAGGAGCCATGATTTTAGTTTACCTCTTGAGTCTTCTAGTTTTTGAGTCGTTCGTTTATCATGTGGCAGCACGTGAAGAGAGATGAATAAAATCCGAAGACTCGAGAAATGAACGAATCAAAACATTTTCCGGCTCTAAATGCATGACTGGCTTCTGTCTTTCACGCGATGAACGAACGACTCAAAGCACATAGAAGACTCGAAAAGGAACGAATCTTCTGCTCCACCAGCACAATTGTGCGCGTGCGCAATTAAACGAATCACTCCGAAAGGACTCAACGTTTTCGAGTCATACAAAAGATTCATTCAAAATGAACGAATCGTTTATGAACGACCCATCACTACATGTCACCACTGTTTACCGGGCACAAACACAGATGCACGCCACTTGATCGTTTTAAAAGCCGCGAAGATGAGCTGGCGTGTCTATGGGCTGACATTTAAGAGATCCGCTGATGATTCACAGTTTTAAAATGATCCGCTGTCTCTGTATCGGTGTTTGCACTCGGTAAACAGCGGTTAAGTGCGGTGAACTGGTGACCTTCACGGCCAAACGGCGGGGTTTAGGACCGCGCTCAACAGCGAATTTCAGTTAACTGTTACCGAAAAACAGTATCATGACAACACTAACAAGCTGTTAAAATGCAACCTCTTAACAGAGAAACGTTAATTAGGAAGTAATTTGAAATGGACTGAAAATATTTAACCAGCAGTGAGCTCGACAGCCATACAGACACAGTTAATTTTACACTACATATGTTCAATATCATATAACTTTCTCTGTAAGTTACCATCTTAATATGTTGAAACAACATAATACTGACCAAACAGTTACCTGGAGCATTGCAGAGTTGCTCTTGAAAGCAAAACTTCGAGGCTAAATGTAGTCTAACGTTACCGTCTTCTTCAGAGAGTTCACAGTACAAAACTAAATGGATATAAAAGTAAGATTAGAAATCGCAAAAACAATTTAAGTAAGATCATTGGCATCGTTTAAGCTTTATCTTTAACGTTAGGGTGACCACACTGTGATAAAATCGATGGAATGACACGGTCACAAAGTGACTCATAATCAATGTTTTAACAAACAAAACGCATCAAAGTACAACATATACCGTTGTGTTAGCACATTTACTCATATAAATCGATAAAATGATGTTTTAAGACGTTAAACAAGAGAGCTTACCAATACGCACGAGGGAGCAGAAAATGGCGCCGACAAAACTCCAACACGTTCTCTGCAGGGGGTAGATTGAGGGGCGGAGCTTAACAGAGCAAAGTTAACGACGTAGAATACAACTCTGATCATTTTCACCAACACAAGGGGGTGTCTTTCACCGTTTCTTGTAAAATTAACTCATTTTGAGTAAATGCAGATTAACACAGCTTAATTAACACAGCGGATTTTACTGTGTAGAAACAATATTAATGAAGTGTAGTCAAAAAAACTGAGTTATCCAAACACAGGTTGTATTCCTATGCCCCATAGTGATGCATATATCTGTCCACCTGTCTGGTTTTGGAGATCTAAACTTGTTTTTTATTAAAAAAATAAAAATATTCATATAATAAATAATACTGCTAATAATAATACTAACATTATACAAATGTTAATAGTCATGAACAAACTGAACAAAGCCCCCCGAGATAAAAAAAGGCATGGAGGTAGTGGAGGCAAGTCTTGTCTTGTTGATATGATTATACGCATTACTATGGAGACGTGGCTGTCAATTAATCCGGTGGGCGGGGTCTACCACTTTCTTTTGTCACGTTGCGGTGGGCCTCAGAATTGCAAGGATTTGGACATTAAAAAAAAAAAAAAAAAAAAAGAGTTATTTTGTTTCTGTCACTCTAATATGACTGTGGACACACTATACCTGCACACAGTCCTGTCCAAACAGCTTCCAAAAGAAATATTGTAAACATGTATACATGTAAACCTAAATTGCACACTCAGCAGACAGCATCAGGATATCGATGCAAGCAGTATACATCTGTTTGACTGATTTAGCCTCTAAATGAACAACCCAAAAGAAGTCTGCTGTCAGTGTTTCACTTCTTTGATAAACAGAGCAGACTCAGAGTAGAGTGAACCCTGGACTGTGTGAGCGGCTCTGAAGGTGAGGTGTGGATGGGCTCATCCTGCAGATGAATGTAGGAGGTCTCTGAGGGGCCGCTGGGTTGAATCTGGTTCCCCTGCGGCCTGGAGCCCGAACAAAGGGCCTCCTGTGAGCTCTGTGTGGGAAACAGTGGAGGAGAGAATCCCAACGCCCAGCCTGGGAATGTGCCCTCCAAATACATGGAGCAAAACTCATACAGAGAGAATAAATATTGCGCGCACACACACACACACACACACACACACACACACACACACACACACACGTGGATGTGTGGATCTCTGCAATGGTGTCACGTTCACTTTTTCATCAGTCAAGTCTATGGCCAGCACATGCATAAATCACTTCGAATTTAGAGATATAGATGGTTCGATACATATTGATACTGAAATAGTTGTAGTGATATGATATCACATTTATGCAATATCGATACCTGCCTCACTTTCTCCATTTCATCTATTTTGATCTGTTCAAATCTAGAGAAATGAGCTAATTTTAACTCGTGACACAGACTGTTGTGTCGCTATGCAAATTATTTCAAACCCCCTCGCTTCCGTTTAGTTTTATAGAACAAATATACAAAATATAGAACAGAATATGCCAAAGATGTTTTATTATGTTGTGTGTTGCATAGAGCAGCATTATAACGGAGAATCAAAATGTGTTTAGTATGATGAAACAAACAGAAGCGGTGCGATGTGGGATAATAAAAGTAGGAAATTAGGATGTAAATGAAGACCACAACTCTCATGATTCCAAACTCAGTCACAGCATCATCAAACTACACCTCTGTTTGTTGTAAATATGCGCCTTCCAGTGACAAAAATTATATATTGAATATATATATATATATATATATATATATATACAGCATATGTACTGAATTATTTAAAGTGATATGATTTCACATTTATGCAATATTGATACCTGACTCGCTCTATTTGTTCAATCTGATGTGCAAATAAAATGTTTGATCTGTTTCATTTATTTGTGTTAATTGGCTGTAAATTGCTTATTTGCTATTATACTTCCTCTACTGGTGAAAATACTCTGCCATTAAGACATGTATAAATACTGTAATATGAATTAATAGTGGCAATATTTCCATATGGTATGAGAAATTAGATCAATTTACAGTATATAAGAAGAGTTCAGATGCAAAAGCTAGACGCCACTTTCGTCAAAAATGAGCTAATGACATTGAGCGAAAGCTTTAGGCACGTACAGTAGTACACGATCAACAAATATTTTTGCTTCAATTCCCAGTGTCAGCACATTCAGAAATAACAGTGTGTTTGCAAAAGTCTCTAAACGCCACTTGCCTTGACAACAAAAGGCGATATGTCCTGAGAACCAATCAGAAGGCGCAAATCAAATGATATGTTTTTAATGTGGCAGTGTGTTGATATGCTGGCTTTTTTTTGCAGAGATTGTTTTATTCTGCCTTGGATTAAGATTTTAAAAGATGGAGTTTGATGAATCATTCAGTTATTTTCCTTCTGCTTAGTCCCTGGTTTATCAGGGGTCACCACAGCGGAATAAACCACCACTTGACAGATTTATGTGTTTTTAATTTTAGGTGCTTTGGTAAAATAATTTCTAATTTCATCTTTAGTGATTTTTCAACTAATTGCAATGTCTTGTTCCTATAGGTGGATTTACAGGTTTCTGCAAAAAAAAGCACAAGTGGAGTTAGCTGGTTTTAACACAAAAGAAAATCTACCCTGTTAAAAACCAAAGAATTGTCTAAAGTGACATTTTTGAATAAATGAATAAATGAAAAAAAAATTAAAATAAATAAAATGTTTACCAGCTACCAACCTTTTCATTATATATAAAGCTTATCCATCCATCCATCCATCCATCCATCCATCCATCCATCCATCCATCCATCCATCCATCCATCCATCCATCCATCCATCCATCCGATATTTTGCAATATCTACCCTCGTACAGCCTCTTCACTCTTGTGTTTTACTCCACCCACACAAGCTGCAAGTAGAGGACCTCAGTTAGACAAATATTACAGCGGTTGGAAAACAAAATTTGCTTTTTTTTAGGCAAGGATGTAGTTGTTTAGATTTAAGGATATTGCCTATTTTAAATATTTATAATTTCAGAGATACATTTTAAGTCGGTCTCTCTCTTTTGTATGTTGTAGTGCTGTATTTATCTCATAGTAATTGTAGTGTATTGAGTGTGAAATGGGACTCAGACATTAGGAATGTATGTATTTTGTGTTGGCCATTCATTGTATAACGTTGAGTTAGTTTTTGGTTGGCAATCTGTTTTTCTAATGAGGCTTTTATTTTTGTTACTGCAGATTAATTCAGTAAAAGCAAAGAAAGAAGAATTGTCCGCATGTGTTTAGCGTTTTTCCTTATCGCAATCACAACAGTAGTCTGGTAGTGTTCGGGTTGATTTAGCTTTTTTGAGGTTTAATTATTGTGATATCTCGATTGTAATAGAGAAACACTGGGAAATCTCTGTAGACTGATGGCATTGGCATGTTAAAATGCGAGCAAAATCACTTTAGACATTTTGCTAGAGAATCATTCAAACACTAGCTCCAAAGTGATGCTGGTGAACTAGTAACGGTTTCTGCTGTTCTGAAGTCAGCTGCAGATGTGAATGAACGGCTGAAGAATGTAGTTCCTAATACAAAAGAATGTTTAGACTCTGTGTTTGATTTTCTTTTTTAATATACATGATTGTGCCGTCAAACTGTGATAATGTTCATAGCTCTTTTATGCTAGGCTTCTGGAAATACTCAATGTTCAATATCAGACATGAAACCAGTCACAAAGCCTTTGTTTTGCGTATACATGGGTGTATTTGTGGGTCTGTCCATGCGTGTCCATCTTCTGGTCATGGTTCTGGTGGTCTTGGGGTTGTTCGGTCAGAGATCTGGAATACCACAGATTTTATGCCCTCACGACAAACCAGTTGTTTACCATTGACGCATCTGGAAAGCATTGAGTAGGCCTGATCTGCTCTGCCTCTCTCTCTCTCTCTTGTTCCTTGTTCTGTCTCTTCCTCTGTGTGTGGCCCTCATCCACAGATCACACGCCAACGAGACGTACTTAAAGTCGTCTTCAGGCTGCCATGGTGTTGATAATTTGGGTTTTATGTGTGTGGGGGTTGAGGGAAATGCTAGCAGAGGGGATGGTGATTAGCAATGAGTACTTTTTGATTAGAAAAAAATCCAGTTGCTTTTTTTATTGAGATATTTATTCATTATTGGTCCAAAATTTGTGAAAAGGCTTTGATCTCATCATCTGATCTTTCTATCTTGTTTTATTTATTTATTTATTTATTTATTTATTTATTTATTTATTTATTTATTTATTTATTTATTTATTTATTTATTTTAATGTTTGTATTAGTTGAAATGGGACAGCATGGGAGAATAGACAGGAAATCATGGTAGGGGACAGATTAAGGGGAATTGGACCTGGAATGCACATTTTATTTTATTTGTTTAAATTAAATTAAATTAAATTAAATTAAATTAAATTAAATTAAATTAAATTAAATTAAATTAAATTAAATTAAATTAAATTAAATTAAACTAAATTAAATTAAATTAAATTAAATTACATATTTTTAATTTTATTTTATTTAATTTATTCATTTATTTTGTTTATGTTTTACTCTGTTTTTTATTGTTTTAAATAAAATATAGTGATGGATTGAGTTTTATTTTTAATATATTATTTATCAATACTAAAAAAAAAACACTTTAAATAACCAATGCTGTTATTTAAATTAGTTCACATTATTACATATTTGTATTTGTGTGTGTACACTTGTTTTTATATTCCGGTTGGGACTTAAACCAGAATGTGTGTGTACTTTGTGTGAATGTAAATATGTTGTGTGTGT